GTGATGAGAGAGTCAGGGGTGTACTTTAGTAGTAAAGTCCTTGCCTCATATGAAATTAATTCCTAGCATCATACCACAGAGATACATGAACACACATACACATGTACACACACACACACACACACACGTAGGTAAGGTTCAGTCAGGTCAGAGGAGGAGGCAAGAAATAGCTCCTCCCCTCCTAGTGGAAACCATAGACACAAGAACAATAAAAGTTTTTTAAAGGTGGAGGTGCATGCCTTTAATTCCAGCACTCAGGAGGCAGAGGCAGGCAGATCTCCCAAGCTACACAGAAAAACTCTGTCTCGAAAAACAACAAAGAATTTGCATCTTCACTGTAAAAGAAGTACCTTGGATGAGAACCTGTGAGAATTTCTTGAAAAGAAAAACCACAATCACAGGGAAACAGTGTCTCAATATATCCATGGGGAAAACTGCTAAAAGAACCTGGGATCTTCTAAGTCCAGAGGCAGCTGGTATCCAAATATGAAGAGGGTGACTGGCCTTCCTGGTCATGAGGAAGAATCCAGGCTAGCCAATCCTACCACACCTTCCTCTTTCCTAACGCCAGGTGAGCAAAAACAAGCCAGAATTTGCCTTATGTGAGTGGTGAGTGGCATTCATCTCTAAAGGGTAGCAGGTCACCCAAGGTTGCCCACATCAGAGGCTGGCTGGTGGTCAGATCATCAGGTCCTGTATAGCAATGCCACTTCAGAAGACTGAAATTTTAGAATACAGATATGGTAGTTCACTCCTATAATATCAGCACTCAGGGGTCTGAGGCAGGGGGATCGACTTCAATACAAAGTCAGTCTGAACCACCCAAATTCCAGGCTACTCAGAGATAGATAATAAGGCTTATCTCAAAACAACAACCACTGCACTTCCTATCTCCTAAAAGACTTCAGAATTGACATCCTCTGAAGTTAAGGAATGGAATACCCTACCTTCTTCAAAAATAGGGAATACCCTACCTTCTTCAAAAATAGGGAATACCCTACCTTCTTCAAAAATAGGGACTCTTGTGCTTGCTGGCATACAATCTCAGACTCAGGGGACAGAGGCAGGCAGTTGAGACCAGCCCAAAGTAAAAAGATAGTTTTGGGATTACATGGTTCAAAGAGACAGAGAGAGAGAGAGAGAGAGAGAGAGAGAGAGAGAGAGAGAGAGAGAGAGAGAGAGAGAGAGAGAGAGAGAATTGGGGCTGTTTTGGCTTGAGGCAGGGTCTCATGTGGCCCAGACAGCTTCAGAGTTGTTATACAGTTGATCCTCTCCACCTCCTGAGTGCTGGGATGATAGGTGTGTGTCAGGCGATTGAGCTATTATGCCCCAGCCCTCTCCACAGGCCTTTCATAAGGAAAAGAAACTGAGATAATAACGAATATCAGGAGCAAAGACAGGAAAAAAAGTCAACAGGATTAAAAGACAACTCAAGTAGATTTTTTTCTTTTCATGATACCTTTGTCCTGTGGCTTTATCAACCTGACATGACCTAGAGTCTTCTGAGAGGAAAGCCTGGGTTGAGGGACTGCATAGATCAGACTGACCTATGGGCATGTCTGAGGGTACTGTCTAAACTGATGTAGGGGGCTCAACCCACTGTGGGCGGTACCATACCTAGGCAGGTGGTCCTGGGTTGAATAAGAAAGCTAGGCAAGTATGAGCTTGGAAGCAAGTGCCTTTCAACTCCATGGTTTCTGTCTCCAAGTTCTTGCTTGATTCCTGCCAAGAATTCTCTCAAAGATGGACTGTCACCTGGAAGCTTAAGCCAAATACAGCTTTTCCTCCCCTAAGCTTCAGGTCGGGGTTTCACAACAGAAAGGAAATCAGGACAACCAGGATAATGATAAAGAGCTTACAAAGTAAATAGACAATGATGTAAAGGACCCTGGTTAAAATCCCATGTAAACAGGGATAATAACTTCACTCATTGACAAAGGAAGACATGAGTACCTTTCTTTGCATCTGATCGGAGGCCATCCCAGGCATTATGTCTGTCAGGATAAACATCTCACCCTTGTGTGTGTCCACTGATGTTCCCCTCCACCTACTCCAGTGAAATGAGTACACAATTGCTTCAGTCATCTCCTGAACCTCATCAAGATCTGGAAACATTCCAAGAGTTCCTGTCTGCCTGCAGCCCCACAAGCTGTCTTCTAAAACAAGGTGTATGAGTTGTTTCTCATCGTTGTAACCAAGTGCCTTATGGTTGGGCTTATTGACTTCAAAGCATAGACCATCATGACATGAAGGTCTTACAGTTGCAGGAGCTTGGGATAGCTGGTCACTTGGCATCCCCAGTCTAGAAGCAGAGAGATACATAGTGGTACCTACCTTTATTTTTTCCTTTTTATTCAGTCCTATATCCTAGCTGTGAGACAGTTCTACTGATATTACTCTCCAGAAACACTCTCACAGGCCAAAACCCTGCCTCATAGGTGATTCCAAATCAAATCAACTTGACAATGAAGATGAATGCCTACACAAGACTATAAATCTTCAGATTTGCAATCTTGACTTCACCCTATTCCCTCAGCGCTCAGACCTTCTTCCCCCAATTTGCCTCGATCCTATCATATCCCTCTTGATCTGTCCTTAGGGCCCTCCATTTATCTTTCACATAGGCTGGTGTCAAGCTGACCCACGAATATCAACAATAGCAAACCTACTTTCATGTGGTTTAAATTCCTCAGCTATTAAGCCCATCCACACATGGCCCAACCATACCCACTGACTCTAGCACCAGTGACCTGCATTTAACAACCTTGACAACATGGGCTGACAACTGTTCCTTTGTTTCTTGTCCATTCCCATCTCTATTTATAGGTGTATCCCCAAACTCCAAAGTTCTCTTGCTGCCTGCCCATCTCCTCACTCCCAACAGTGACCCAGACTATGAGGTTTTCTCGATGGCATTAGTGTATGTGAAATATTTTCTTTTTGGCTTATTTGCTTATTTATTTAAGGCAGGTACTTCCTGTAGAGTTTGGACTGCCTCAGCCTCCTGAATACTGGACTCACAGATAAGCACTACCAAGATATAACACAGTAGGGACCTGGGAGGTGGTTCAGTTAGTAAAGAGCTTGCCATAACTTGGATCCAGAGTGGCCATATAACAAGCATCCAGGAATAGTAGTGTGTGCTTGATTCCAGTTCTGGTGAGAAAGATGAGTAGGTCCCTGAGCTCAATGACCAGCCAGCCTAGCTTTCCAGGAAAGTTCCAGGTGAATGAGAGACCCTAACTTAAAAAAAAGGGGGGGGGAGGATGACTCCTGAGACAGTATACTCAAGGTTGTCTTCTTACCTCCACATGTGGACACATCACAGAGAGATGTAACACATTAGAAAGATTGTTTTCTACAAAGAAAAATCAGCTAGCACTTTTATCTCCGAGATTAATCCTTCTCAATGCCAAGCCTGCTGTACACTGCCTCAAAACTTCCACGGTAACTCCATCAAGGCACTTCTCCAGAGGACATTTCTTTCTCCAGCTTCTCTTCCCACATCCTAGAATGCCCCCCCCAAGGTAATCCCATCCATTCCCACAGCCTCCTTAATTACTGTTATGCACTGGTGACAACTTAGTCACATGCAGTCACCTAAACACCAATGTCTGCACTTCTCCGAGTATCCCTTACAAACCTCAGTCTCAGCACGTCACAACCAACTCCCTACCTGCCTTCCTGCAGGCCTCTCTAGGCTTAAGAAAATATCATCTACCTCTTTCCCCAAGCACCCTGGAAATGAGGTGTGGTGAATGCTAAACACAGCACTTGCACATACCTACAGAAGGATCAGAAGCTCAAGGCATCCTTGGCTACATAGAAAATTCAAGGCCCGCTTAGGCTACTTGAAACTTCAAGAAAAATGAGGAGAAAAGAATTTTCCAGAATTAAAGACATAGACACACAGACTGAAATTGCACACTGAATCCTTAGTTAGACGGAATAAACTGGGGGGGGGGGGGCGCTGGAGGGTAAAATCCAGTTAAAACAACCAGAGTGACGTGAGCAGGCTGCCTACAAAGCAAGAATTACACAGACAGCACCAGCACCTTCATCTTCTGCAGCATCGGACAACAGAAGACACGGTTGAGGTTGAAAAGCTTCAAAGGGAGGGGCCAGTGACATGACTCAGCAGGACAAACCTGCTTGCCAGCAAGGCTGACACCCAAGTATGATCCCCTGGACCCACATGGTGAAAGGAGAGAGTTGATTCCTGCAAGCTGTGGCATACATTGGCATACTCCCAAACACACAAAGTGCCAAAGGAGAAAGGAGGAACAGGTGGATCCAGAACTCCAAAGCCTGGTAAGGGCTTTTCAGGCATGTGGGGCTCAGAAGCTACTACACAGTGCATCAGAGCACTGCCTCACGCAGAACATACCCTTCAGGGAAAGGAGCCAAACATGAGTGCGGAAGCACCCAGTCTGCATCTCACCCATAGAAGACAAGATGCATGAAATGTCTACATTACCTTCAGTAGAGGGACATGGGGCTCAGTGTAAACTAACAGGCACAAGCAAAGAGTTAGCAGGGTTATCTATCACAATGGCTCAGCAGGGGAGGCACTTGCCTCACAGCCAGACATCCTGAGTTCAGAACCCATGAAAGGGTAGGAGAAAGCTGACTTCATGAAGTATCAGCAGGACTCTTACTAGGGAGTTTTTACTGCTTTCTTGGAATTCAGTCTCTGTTTTCAGAGGCCCAAACTCCTAAAAGTTCAAATAATGAGAAGAGACATACCATTGACAAGACTTACCAGATTGCTAACTGCAAAAAGGTTTATATGGTTATCAAAATACTAAAAACCTATTTTATTTTTGCCAAAATCATCTTTTCTTATCATTTTCATTTGACAACCCTTCTATCCCAATAGATTCGTTGAGTTTTCTTTCACCATTTCTTAGCATATTCAACCACCTGTATTAATTTTATATGACTAGCCTACAGTTAGTTCATATTTTAATATTTATCATGAAGAAAAAAGGACTCACACATGATGATAATTACATATTTAATACATCTTGCTTTCAACAGCAATTTTCAAAGTAAACATATCATAGACCTTATAACTTATTAAAGATTTTATAGTGTTTACAAATTTGATTCTAAAAATATACCTTATTTTTTCTAAATGAATAACATCTGAAAGACAGAATAATAAATGATAGTGTGTTCGCCACACCTAGCATTAGGCTTGCGAACACATATTCCACACGGAGGGAGTACTCTTGGGATCTTCACACTCTTAGCCTGAGAACACAAAGCACATTACACCCTGGAGTACAAGATTTCAGCATTGCTTTAAAAGAAAAAACTGAAAATATCTACTTGACACTGTAGGAAAGCATGGGCACATGCACACACAGAAATATGTATACATTTTCTCTCGGTCAGCACATAAGCACACGCACATCACAGCACTCAGAAGAATTTACCCTTGTGTGCCAGATAAGTAACAATTTCAGAAAAGCAAAGCAAGTAGAAAGTCAGCTGATATACTTAAACCATAAGTAAATGGCAGGAGTTGTTAATGAGATGTGCCTGGAAGCTCTACGAGGTGCTCTCTCGATTCATTCTCCAAGTACGGGACCATTCAGCAGTAGACATCAGCACACACCATCCTCAGACTGCACTTATGAAGGCAACAAACTCAGGCCTGCCAGAGCTAGTCAGTCGCATGGCTCAGCCCCACCAGCATGGCCTGCTTTCTAGAACCCAATAGTTCAGCACCTTCTCTGTGATCTGCCTGGTGTTCCTGAATCATCCATGTGCTAAAGCAGTGGGTTCAGTAACAAATAATAACTAATATCACTTTGGTTTCTGTGGCAGAGAGAAAGCCACATAGTATTCCTCAAACACATTTATGCAGTCAAATCCCCTAATTTTTAGTTATTGATGTTTTTCCAAATTTAGACTCCAAGCAGTTTAATGTTCATAACCTCCCCTGATATCACATACATCTCTGATAATGTCTGTCAAAATAGAAAAGTATTCTTTGGATCCCTGCAGGAACTCAGGTTTAACACCACTCTGGAAGTTCATTGTAATCTACCAGATTTAGGATTTAAACTTTCTGAAACAACAGCAACAGAAACAGAGCACATGTGGGATGCTCATAATGCATACAGCTGAATAGAAACAGGAAAAGGCACGACAGTTAGTGAGAGGGAAATACCAGCTGCCCATTTGCTTTCTGTTTGGTTTTTTTTTAGATTTCTTCTTCTGTTTCACTAAATTTCTAAATTGTTCAAAGCATTCTCATTCTCTATGATAGTAATAGCATAGTTTGGCACATCAACATTGTGATACAATGCATGGCATATTTAAAAAATTTAGAAATTTCATGTACTCATAAACATATCTTTCATGTAATGCACATATATCTTACATTTATTGAAATCAAATACCGAAAGGTTGGTAACTGATTTACAGAAGCAATCACAGACTGCAGAAACGTGTGTGCCATACACACACACACACACACACACACACACACACACACACACACACACACACACACACACACACCAATCAAGGAAAAACTGTATCCTTGCAATTTTACAGTCCGAGGTTTCGTTGGTGTGCCTTTCATATACACGCCGCTTTCTCATGGCTTCCTAGAGTAAAGATAGATTTTGTCTTCTTCATTCTTGATGAGATTTTTCAGGAATAACTTTACATTCATACTGCAAAGATTAAAAGGTCAAAAGGTTAACAGATTTTTAAATCACTTGTGAATTACAACTTCTAAAAAAATTAAAAAGGTATAAAAAGGAATGTTTTAATATGTGTTCACTTTATTCCTCAAAGAACTAAAAGTTTCACAGTGGCATTCTCAAAGTAAAAATCTACAGACAGCAGTGGAGGACAGCAAAAGACAATTTCCATACTGAAAATTACAATAGCTAGTGATGTATGCAATCCCTGTAATACAAAGGGCACACACAGTGTGTTTCTTCTGTGCTCAGAGACCAGCCAAGGGCAAGCCATGAACTTCAGGACAATGCTGAATTCAAATCATTATTTCAAATCACTCTATGATTTAACAGAAAAATAGATTATAACATAAAGGATCCAAATTAGAACAATATTCTAAAACTATAGTTACCAAAATGAACAGTTTAAATTAAGAAAAAACAAAAGGAAATGCACAGAGTTAGAACTGAGTGCTCAGAATATCAAAACAACAGCAAGTAAATTACAGGTCTCCCAGCTGGTCAAGTTCAAATGAGAGCAATTACTGCTTTGGCGTCTGAATGTCACTGTGTAACTCTTGCCACACGACTGGAGTTACCACAGTGTCATTTCCATTCATAACTAAAACAGGTATTTTGATCAGCTTGAGATAGTCTTAATGTATAAATACTGTAATAGTATGCCCTTTTCATTTTTAAAACTGTTCTTTTACTAGGGGCTGAAGTTGTGGCTCATTTGATAGAGTGCTTGCTGAGTATGAAAGATGCCCAGGGTTCAATCTCCAGGACCATATAATCCCAATGTAGTGGGGCAGGCCTATACTTTCAGTACTCTAGAGGTGGAACCAGGAAGACCAGAAAGAAATTCATGGTCATCCAGGCTACACAAATCAGTTCAAGACAAGGTGGACTACATGAGACTTTATATCAAGGGAAAAAAAGTTATTTGTTGATGGAATAGAAAACAGTAAGCTAATGAAAACAAAGCAACAAAAATCAAATATCACTATGTGATCAACAAATTCTACCACACTACCCATAACCTATTTTTTCTTTTCTCTCCAATTGTTCCTCAAATATTAATACTCCTTAGATTAAATTCATCCAAATGATTTATTTCAAAGAAAGTACAAAAGAGAGTTCAAAGAACACTGTCTTTATTGATGCTTTCCCTTGAGTGATGGCAACTAACACACTGCATGGGCCTCAGCTTACCATTGCCAGTTGACGACCAATGTTTCCCATTGTTATGCCTCCAGCAAAAAATATACATGGCAACCAAGAACGGACATAGAGAAAATCTGGAGACGTGTATCTAGAATAATAGAAAAATTTAGTAAGCCACAGAGCAAGGACAAGGGTATTCAAGACAAGCATAATGAGGGTAAGTACTTCTATACATTAAACTGGTTAACCCCATTGAGATCCTCAATTCTGAAAGCAGTTATTGCTGATTTACACAGCACCCAGATAACAAGGAAGACAATACTTACTGATAAACACCATTGTAGACTAGCAGTTGGGTGACAACAGTTGCTAAGAAAGCGATTCCAACACCAAGGCCAAAACCACTTCTAGATCTGTCAAAAGTCCACCACAGTCCTACTGACAGTGCAGCCAGTGTGAGGGAAAATTGGAAGTTGTTGTCGAAGTCTACTTTCTGAGACCAGTGCTAAGGAGCCATCATGAAACAAGGAAGCAGGTGATACAAACTGTTCAGTTCTCTATAATGAGAGAGGCCATTCTCGAGGGACTTGATTCGAGAGTGTCCTCAACTTTCTATCACAACACATGACGTTAGGTGCAAGTAAAACTATGTCTAAATACCAAACACAATGGGCATTAATTAACAGATCCTGCCTTCTTCTTGTAACCCATCTAGGGAAAAAAAAAGGCAATACACATTCCTAATTGTAAGTCAGGCACTATTTAGGAAGTGTCTTTATGGCTTAATATGTAAATGTACACTTTGGATAGCAGTACTAAAAGAACACATTTTTGTTAAGAAAAAGAAAGAATGAGGGAGAGAGCGAAAAAGAAAAAGAGAGACAGAGACAGAGAAAGGAAAACCAATAATACTACTCAAAAAGGTTTAGAAGTACTTGAAAATCATATACAGGAACTTGGAAATAGGAGAGCTGACAGCTATTTAACAGGGTACCACACTGGCTGTGTGATTTACTGACAGACACATTTTATAATAATGCAGTTCAGAACAAGAGCACCAAGGACATAGCATCCCTTCTATTATGTCAACTGCTCTGGTTTTAATTTGTTGAGGATAAAGCCTTGAAGTGAACATTATCTTCCCCCCTGCCATACTATACTGGTTCCTGTGACTTTCTAGCAAGGCACTTTGCTCCGATATTTTATTTCTGGCACACACTTAAGCATCTATTCACAAATATATGGCCCCTTTTACTCAAACAAATCTCTGAGCAGAATGAAGCTTTACAAATTCAATTTTCTGATTTTTTTGGGCAGGGGTTAAAGGATTACACTAATTCTGAGTGTCATTAAAAAGGCATTTTCTATGCTCCAAAGGTTCCACCTTGGCTCTATAACTGGCTCCTTGTTGGACTAGAGATCTGACCAAACTGGCCTTGCCAGTACTAATGTCCTTCCTTTGCCCCCCCCCAAAACATTTCTTGATTCCAGGGATTCCACACTTCCCCCTACCATTCCCACATTCTCACTAAAGCAGCATATAAATGCCCTGCTTGCCAAGTCCTTGACCTCTGAGGACAGCCGTATGCCACTCTCTTAAGATCAGTCCTTGTGAGTGGCTGATTTATCAAGAAACTAACAGTTCATCTGGGCAAGTTTCTCTCTTCTTTTAGCTGTCCTTGTATATACACTCTAAACACAAGGTTCTCAGCACCTCTGTGCAAGAGACATTCACAGGAGACAAGAATAAGAGGCTTTTAGGATAAATCAGTCAAATACATCAATTTTAAAAGTGATACCTTGTGGTTTTCCAAAGTCTAAGTAACCTAATATAAAAAGTCTTGGCTATAAATTTTGTAAACATTTTCTTTTTTTATACATTCTTTTATTTTTATTTTTTTAATTTTTAAATTTAAATTAGAAACAAGGTTGCTTCACATGTCAATTCCAGGTCCCTCCCTTCCTCCCACACCTGTCCACCAAACCTCCATCCCACCTTCCCCAATCTCTACTCCTTTCCCCAGGCCCTCCATGGGGGTATCCATAGTCTGTCATTTCATCCAGGGCAGGGCCTAGACCCTCCCCCAAGAGTCCAGGGTGAGAGTGCACCTCACATTGTTGGATGGGTGCCCAAAGTCCATTTGTATACCCGGGATAAATAACTGATCTACTACCCAAGGCTCAATAGATTACCTAGGCCTCCTCACTGACACCCACATTCAGGGGGTCTTGATCAGTCCCATGCTGGATTCCCAGGCATCAGCCTGGGATTCAAGAGCTAACCCTTGTCAGGTCAGCTGTTTCTGGGGGTTAAACCAGCCCAGTCTTAACCCCTTTGGTCATCAGTCTTCCCTCTCTGTCACTGGATTTCTTGAGTTCAGCTCAGTGCTTAGCTGTGGGAGTCTGCCTCTGTAAACATTTTCTATTTTCTTTAAAGGGTAGACATGGCAGCAAAGATTGCTATGTTCAAGTATTTCACTTATAAACAAAGGGAAAAGTGAACAAAGCCAAAAATGTATATTGTATGCAAGGCTTTTAAAGGTGAAGAAAGGGATATATATATAATGAAATGACAATTACGAGACTGGGAGACAGCTCAGTGGGTAAAGAGGCTGCTATGCAAGCAGGACAAGAGAGCACCCATATGGAAAAGTTGGGGTGAGGGGAAGCAGGGAAAGATGTATGGAAGTCATATAGAAGCTTAGTAGTCTGTAAGCCAATTAAGGATTTAAGTTGGAGAGCGAGAATGAATTAAAAGGGAGATATCCTGCATGCCTGGATAATACTGGTCCTGAGAGCCAAGGGCCACTAAATGAAAACCCTAGTGCTGGGTGGGAGACACTTCTGAGGAGTTGCTGGCCAAGGAGACCCCAAGGCTTCCAGAGCAATTCAGGCTCTTGCTATTCCTCTTGGTTACCTACCAGAACTAGTTGGTGATAAGACCTAATGTTGAAAATAACACAAGGTGTAATATATAAATACAAGGTGAGCAGAAATCAAGCTGCAACTCAGTTGAAAGCCTCCCCCTGCTGGCCAACTTTCATAAAGCTGAAGGGGCTATACCAGTTGGTGGGGGAGAAAAGGCATCTTACTGATTTGTGAGTTCTATGATTTACAATACCAACCTGCCAGGCAAGATATGTGCACAGGTATCAGAGTACTGTCACTGTTATGGTGCACCAACCACTCTCTTCTTATATTCTAAGCTCAGTCCACAAGAGGTATTTTATTCCTGGTACTGTAAACCCAGGAAACAAACCCAAGGCTATGGATGACTTAGGCCCTTGAGATGATGCTACTATTGTTAAGTTGTCATGGTGCTATGCCATCTTCTAAATATGTACATTTACACTCATAGATAAATGTTACCCCCATCCTTATCAGAGAAGCCTCTTTTTGCAATGACATGAATGTGGGGTAAATAGAGACAGACGGCTGCTAAAAGTGCCAAGGATAAGGGATGATTGAGTGCTTGTTCCCACACAATACTAGTCCCTGCAAGGCTCACAGGTCATGTAGAAGGGATGTGGAAAGGATATAAAGAGCCTGAAGATGAGGAAAGGGCAGTGTCTTCTGGGCATGGCACAACTAATGCAGAAAAGACTTCACAGGGGCAGCTGCCTACAATGGGCCTATTGAGAGTCAAGCATGGATAGAGAGAGCTCATGGAGTCCTACCTCCACCTCTCCCTGCTGAACAACCGGCTACTGAAGGACTGAAAGAGGGCGCCATCTTCTTCAGATGTGTACACACTAAGAAGCTCCAAAGGGTACTTCCAAACCCACTGCCGCACAGGTAATCCTTGTAGGGGGAGAGACAATACGAATAGAAGAGAGAGAAAGAGAAGATGGGGTCACAGTAATCAGAGTAAGCTGTATATAAAAGGTATGAAACTACCCAAGAACAAACTTAATAAACATTATCAAAATGAAAGAAGATCAGAAGTCAGGATGAAAGGCTGAACATCAATGGCAAGGATCTTGACTGGATTGTACAGTTTTAACAAGTTGGTCATATTGTTTCAAAATGAAAAATACAAAACAGAAATGTTGAAACAAAAACCTGAAACAAACAACTGCATCAAAACACTCTAGAGGCTAAAGCAGAAGGGTCAAAAGTCAAGGCCGGGTAGTATTAGCCAGCACAGGAAGACCCTATCCTATAAAGAAGTTGGTTGGGGTGGGTGGTGTGCTTTTTGGTGCTGATTAAAATGAAAAAAATGTCAGTATAACTTCTTTAAAGTACCTAAAACTATCTGGGTCCTTGTAGGGAAAAGGGCCAGTCAAAGAAACACACTGTGAGCAGAGCCAAAGAAACACACTTTGGCCCTGCAACCAGAACTAAAGAAATGTACCCTGACCCTGAGACCAGTGCCAAAAGAACACACTTTGTCCCTGGAATCAGAGTCAGTGAAAGAAATGCACCCTGGCCCTAAAATTGGAACCAAAAGGCTAAAAAGGACCAGAGAAAGAAACACACTTTGGCTCTGAAACCAGAGCCAAATCTGACCATAATCCTGTGCAGAAAACTAACCAATCCCCGAGCAGAGCTCTAGCCAATCTGAGCTCAGCACTGAAACTGGACCAATCCCTACCCTGGAAAAACTTCCCCACCCCCAAGAATCCCTGTATAAACCCTGTGTATGTTCAGCTTGGCTGGTCCAGCTGCTTCCTTCCAATAAACCCCTTCGGATGAGTTTTGGGTGAAGATCTTTTGTGGCAACGGAGCAGAGGCGACCCTGGGTAGAGCAGAGCAGAGCGAGCAGGGCTTTAACACTTGCCCAGAAACCTTCCCTTGGCAGAGCGGAGTTGTTTACACCCCGCTCTCAGCTCCCTGGGAGCAGAGCTGAACTGAGCAAAACTGGCTACAGTAGGTGAACATCCCCAGCTGGAAAACCCTGTCCTGCCAGAGCAGAGCGGACACACTGGGGAAGCCCTTCCCTGAGGCTGGGCTGTAAGCAGCTAAGCTTACTGCAACCTGTGGTGGTCCCTGGCTCCGAGCTCCAGGATACCTTTCCACCTGAGGTATGTAACACTCACTATCCAGTGGCTCCCAAGTTCCAGGATACCTTTCCACCTGAGCTGTGTAACACTCAGTATTCTGTGACTCCCGAGTGCCAAAATACCTGACCCACTCCTGTTCCATCCTGTCCCGACCCATCCTGAAATGCTTACAGTCCTTACCTGCAAATCCTAAGTGAAGAAAGAAAAGTGCGGGGAGCTTTGAAAATGTACCTGCTTTTAAATTAACAAAATTCTATGTAAGGAATTTGGTAGTTATGAACAGGGTTCCTATATGGAACTGAAAACCAGCTTAAGCAAGGCTCTGCACGTTGCTCTAACCTCACACTTGCTACCCTCATGTCTCAACAACTGGGTCAGCACTGTGTTGTGACTGAGAAAATCAGAGTTGACTATAGGGGGTTGCAGGCTGCCTCATTACTGCATGTTTCATAAAGGATACAGCACTGGCATGGTTGATACCTACGAACACCGCCACGCAGCGCATAACACTGGACCACTCTCTCTTAAATTTATGTGGTTCTCCTAGATGCCTGTCAATGCAGGGGTACAATAACCCAATCACAGCTGTAAACAGAAGAAAAAAAAGTAAGTTATCACCAGCACATCACTGGCATCAATTAAGCTACACAAATCACTACAGCCACTGCCTTCAAGATCCCTCAAAACAAAAATTGTATCCAAATGACAGAACGTTGCTGGCATCTTTAAACTTACCTTCCAAGGGGAAAATACAAGGGTAGCAGCACCACTGCAGAAAACTCTGAAGAAGCTGTAGCACTCTAAAGGCTACACACACTGGGAGCAGTGGGGGTGACTCACAAGGAGCCAGAAACACTAACTCATCCTAACAGAAAAAAGCTCAAGTCTTCTTCTGAGACTTGACAGCAAGCACCAAGTCAGCCCACAGTTATCCTCTCCTCACTTAAGTATGCCATGTACTACAGGCTAGGCAGCAGGTCTGTGAACTCACCGGGCTCCCAAGGTCCTGACCGTCCGGCCCTGTGCCCCACACTCTCCTGACAGTCTTTCCCCATCCTTCTAGCATCACTCTGCTAGCAACAGGGAATAGTCCTTCTACACGCAGAAGGAAGGAAGGACATGGGGGACATAAAAACTACAAATTCCCTAGGTATGACAGTACACATCTTCAATCCCAGCATTAGAAAAAAGCAGGCAGATCTCTGAGTTCAAGGGCAGCTTGGCCTACTTAACACATAGTCAGACACCTGTCTCAAAAACAAACAAACAAAAAACATACAAATTTACAGATAACATGTAAGTTTGCTTTTAAAAGGTAAGAAGAAAACCTCAGTGTGGTTTTTACTTTGTGAAACAACACCTTGACTCCTACCTGGGTAAGTACTCATAAATACAGTGCCTGTGTAGAAGATATCCATGACTAAGACCTCAACTATTCTCATCCTATCCCCAACTTTACTTACCAAATCTCAACATTTTACTTACTTAGAAAACATGAAATTTATGTGTATGTTTTATACATGTTCATAAATGTGTTCACGGAGCATGTGGTGACGGAAGAACGAGTTTAGTTGTCATTCCTCAATCACCATCTACTTTGTTGTTTGAGAAAGGGTCTCTCACTGCCCTGGAGCAAGGTTCGTGGCCTAGTAAGCCCTAAAGACCCACCTACATCATATCTTCTGCACTGGATTACAAGCATGGACCACCAGGCCCAGCTTTTTTCTTTTCTTTCTTAGTATGAGTGATGAGTGGTCAAACAGAGGTAGGTCCTTATGCTCCTAAGGCAAGCACTTCACTGACTGAACTTTCTACCAAGGCCACAAGAGAAATTTACTTATTTGCTGGATATTATACTTTAAATTTGTTTGTATGTATGCATGTGTGCCTATTAGCATGTCCATATACATTTGGGTGCCCATGGAGGCTAGAAGAAGACATAGGCTCCCTTGAATTACAGGAGGTTATAAGCCACCCAATGTGGGTGCTGGGAATCAAACTCAGGTCCTCTGAAAGAACAGTAAGCACTCTTAACTTTGTGAAATATATCCATACAAATACACACCCTTTTAAAATTTAAATATAAATTAAAAGGGTAAAATGGAAAAACTGGAAACCAATTAGTATTCAAAAACCTCAGGCAAGTGGAGCAACAGAGCAGCATGGGAAATAGACAACCTAGTTACTCTCTCCTGGAGCTCTACGCTCCTTCCCCCTCAGCTTTAGTTGAGAACAGATGGCTCACAGGCATCCTGAGACCAGTGACAAAGCTCAGCAATGCAGAGCTCCAATGGCTGCTAGAAGATGTAAGTTTCAGGGTCTGTGCGATAGCTCAGCTTGTGAAATGCTTGCCTTGCAAGCCCAAGGAACTGAGTATAAACCAAAACAAGAAAACCTAAGGTGGACTGTGTCTAGGTGTGACAGCTAAGGTTATCCTTGGCCTCCAAATACAAACATATACGCATACCTGCACATGCATGAACATGCATGTGCACACACACAAAGAAACTCCACGTTATGGGTTATGGTCCTATTTAAAACACACTACTGTGAAAAATCCCACTGGATTAAGTGACAGCATTTCTAACTTTCTACATGATTAAAATGACAAGCATGCCTAATAATTGAAACATGTCTAAATGATACTTTTTCCTCAAGGGGTATCATAGAACAGCTCATTTGTCATTCTACCACTCTCTATATAACATATGCATATACATATATAGCTACATATCAATACTGATGCATCTACCTACGTATCATCTATCATCCACCCATCCACTATCTATCACCCATTATCATCTATCATCTACCTATATATCAATTAATTTCTCCTCAGTCCCCTGCATCTTTCTCCTGTTTGCCTGTGGCTGAGTAAAAATTCAACCAGAGCAGGCGTTCCAAGTCAATTTTCCTCAGCAGCTGATGCCATAGGTAAAGAATTATCACATAGAGACGCTGACATGTACGTGCAAAAGTATAAATAAGTAAAACTGACTATGTCCCTATGCAAGTGAGAGACAACTGAGAAGAGAGAGTGGAAACACAAAGAAGGAATTTAAACGGCCATGCTGCCAACCTTGGGATTTGCCAATAAAAAAATCAAATCCGTTGAGAATGCATGGTGCTCAGCTGCTCACTGAGAGGGAGAATTTGGGGAAGCTTGTCACTTCCCATTAAATGTCTTTCTTTCTTTCCTTTAAATAAAAGCATGGCAGAGGCTGATAGGAATATACACAGCACAGTGAGGATCCACTGTCTGAGAGCTCAGTGGACTATATCTGGGCTTCCTCTTCTCTACGCACCATTTTTTTTTTAACAAGAGACTTAAAATCATGCTGTGTAAAATCATATGCAAATACAATCCTGCTTAATCAGATGGTTCTCTGATGTAAAATCACGTGTCTTTTGATATCTTTAAGTGATTCCCAGTAACAGTCTGCCAAGACCAGAGACAAAAGGAGTTTGTGAAGCGCCAGTAGTAAGCCATCACTCTCTCAGGGTGATGTGCTCAGTGCAGTGAGGCAAGGAAAGGAACGCACTTAAATTAGACATCCAGCAAGGAGGGGGACTGAAGACAACCAGGCCAGCCAGCAAGACTTCTTCCATGGGAGACTACAACAGAAGCAAATCATGTTTTCATTCAGCAAACACTTAAGCCTTATAATGTAGCTTGGTCTTGGTACCACAGGGGATTTTAAAAGAAAAAAAAAAGAGGGCTGGGGATATGGCTAAATTGGCGAAGTGCTTGCTGTGTAAGTCCATGATATCCACAGTCTACTTTAAACACACACACACACACACACACACACACACACACACACCTCTGCCGATCTGCCGATCCCTGGAGTTTGTTGGTAAGATAGACTACCCTACTTGGTGAGACTCTCAAAAAACAAAACAAAAAGGTAGATGGCATCTGAGGAATAACAGCTGAGGTTGTCCTTTGACCCACCCCCATCCCCGACACACGCACACACACCCACTCGCATGCACAGACATGTACATATTAATAAAAAAAAGGATGTGTTTTCGTGGCAAAATAACACAGCCACTAATGAATGCTGGATTTAAGTACTGACAAGTTGCTGAGGGGCTGCTGTCATCTTGTTCCTGCACATGAAGAGTGTAAAGTGTTGGGCTGTCCAGAAGGTTCCAAAGAAGTGACCCTGTAGGCAGAAGCATGGAAACAATTCTCTCATTAAAGGGAGGTGCCTGAAGGAACCAAGGCACAACTAGAATAAACAGCATTCCCAGGAAGCTGTAAGGTTTGAAGGAAGGCTTGGTGTCCAGAAAGTCTCAGAGTATTATAAAAGTGGTCAAAAGTATGTAACAAATGGCTTTAACCATGTTAAAGGTTGGGAAAACATGATAACATTGTGGTAACATGTTTGTCAGAGTGATGGGGGAAGTCCTGTGTATATGTCAATAAAGCACTGTTGTCCAATAGGGAAGCAAGATAGGTGGGACTAGGAGTCCAGGAGGACTCTGGGTAGGAGAAACACGGAGAGTCAAGATGTAACTGCCATAGGGATAAGAAGCCCGGAAAGTTCTCCAGTAAGATAAATACTTAGATTAACAATTATGGGATAAAAACTTAAGTCAGAGCTAGCCAGTAAGAAACAAGCAAGGCCAACAGCTTCATAATTAATATAGCGTCCTGTGTGTTTATTTGGGACTGATGCAGCTCTAGAACCAGGCTGGCGGGAAGGCTTCCCTTTACCTCAGAGACAGACAATCATTTTTACAGAGTGCTCAACAGAACACAGGGAAGTGGGATAGGTCAAAACGAAGGCAGAAACAAAGGGCTAGTATCTGCAAGTCCAGGGGGTGGGGGCCAGACCACCAAAAGGAACAGGCAGACTCTGCAGGCTCACCATGGGATGTGGAATAGGAAAGGATGGAGACCTCTCTAGCAAAGAAGGGAGGAACTGCTTGACTCGAAGAATCTTTTACATAACTTTCACAAGTTTGACTACTTGTGATTTCTGAGATAAGTGCTCTACTTCTTTTAGCCACAATACAGCAATTGTCATTTAAAATATTTACTCTTTGGAGCTAGTAATGGTAAGCCTCTCATCCCAGCACCCAGGAAGTGAAAGCAGGATAACCAAGAGTTCAAGGTCAGTCTCACCTACAGAGTGAGTTTGAGGCCAGTTTGGGATGCATGAGATTTTTATTTTATTGTCTGAAATATAACATGACAATAAGAAGATAGCCTTTATAAATGTCTTTGGTGACTCTAAGAAACACGAGTTTTCCAATTCCAGCTCTGGTGCACCATACATATAAAGTAGGCCAGGACAACACCAGCCTGAAGCTTGTTTAGGCCCTTCTGATGAAGACATCACACACCCTGTGGTCACAAGGCATGGAGAAATCATGCTGGTTCTGACAGGAAGCCTCCTCCATGCAGGTTAGCTTTCATAGTACTGAAAGGTGCTGTGCAGACAACTGGGGGAGAAAAGTCATCAACGGTCTTACTCAGCTGTGAGCTACAATAACTGGCATGGGTACAATAATGGCTAGAATGTCAGGGGGATCCCCAGAAGAAAACGCATGCTGAGAATGTAAATCTGGCCAAGAACCCAGAACTGGGGAGCTCACAAGCCCCAATATGAATCTACTACTATTGTTTTGCTAACCGGTCATACTATAAGCTACCCTCTAAACCTGTATCTCTACGGCCACAGATCAGTGCAGCTATCACATCTCATTGGAGAAGTGTAGCAGATGACAGTTAACACAGAAACATACAACTGGTCAAAGCACAGAGAGTAAGTGTCTGCAGAGCACTCGGGCACAAATGGGACATCTATATCACATCACAGGCCCTCACTCCAAGGCTTTAGAGCCATCAAAGAAGGCAGAGGAGAAAGACTGTAAGCACCAATGGTCAGGGAGGACCCTGGTGTGAACTCACAGAAGCTGGGCTGCCTGCACAAGATGATGCCTGTCAACATTCCAGCACAGAACAGGGAACACCCTCTAGCTCCCAGCCCAAGCTGAGGAGCTACCCACAGTTGATGGCTGCTGGAGAGGAAAAATCAGTTTCCTTTAAGCATGTGGCCCCAAGTAGGTCGGCCACTATCCAATGGATAGTTCACATCCATTGGTATATGGGAAGCACAAAATGTTCTTGGAATTGGTGAGATTAAGAAAGGAGGCTAACGGTGAGGATGTGAAGTTGGGATGGGGTAAGGGAGGAGTAGGGAATGAACATGATCAAAATATATTAGACAGGATGGGTGTGGTGGCATGGGCCTTTAACCTCAACACTCAGGAGGTAAAGGCAGGTGGACCTCTGAGAGTTTTGGTCAGGTTGGTCCATATAGTGAGTTCCAGGCCAGAGTTACATAATGGGACCCTATCTCAAAATAAACAAAAGACAAAATTCTATACATATGAAATTCTCAAAGAATTAACACAAATATTATATTTACTGAATATATGTTTGTGTGTATATACATACATACATACATACATACATACACACACACACACACACACACAAGTAACATTATGTGTACAGAGCAGGCTATGTTTACATATTAGGGGGTGTGTATATGTATAAAACAGCAAGTACAGAAATAAAGGCCATGAATTTGAGAGAGCAAGGTGGACCACATAAGAAGGACTAGAGGAAGGAAAGGGAAGGGGAAAAACTAATTATATTTTAATTTCAAAAGAAATTCCCCAAAAAAAATCCTAAAAAAAAAATTTTAAAAAAAGAAGAAGAAAGAAGAGAAATGGAGTGTGATCCACAGAAGCTTGTGAGACTTCCCCATCTTCAAGACGCCAAGCTTCCAAGGACCCCACTATAGGGATAGGTGACTCTGTCCCTTTACAGTAGAAGGGACCCTAAAGTGGCTAGCTGCATTTTGGAGGAGAGAAAAGAACTAGAAGTTATTGGGAAACATTTCTCTTCAGGATGTAAATGAAGGAAAATACAGGTAGATCAGTAGACACATCGAAGAATGATAAGATACAAGTTCTCTTGTCTATCTGGACTATTTATTAGAGAAGGATTACCCCGAGAAAACCAGGATACAACACTATGATGACTTCTCTTAATTGAGGGCTCCAATAGTTCCAAGGCTATCTAAGCCACGTAAAATCTAACTACAGCAATGTTCATCTGTTCATGTAGCAGGGGTATATCACTGTCCAGCAGGTTTCATGAAATTATTTGAAGATATACCACAAGTCAACCCCAGCTTTTGGACAGACACATCTGTAATCTCTAGTTCTAGGATGTAGGACAAAAAGCGCCCAAGTTGTGTCACAAGGTATCATATACACTAAGTGCAGACATACAGAATTACAACCATTTTCTCCCTCATGCCTGTGACTACCTTCTATTACTTTATCATCTACAGCAGTGTTGACCCACTGACCTTTCATTAGACACAGCTAAAGAGCTGTCCATTACAGAACTCAGCATCACTTTGAGCATTCTGGAAAGGCTCCACTTAGCCATCAATGGTCCACTACTGAAAAGGTCAAAGTCACTAACAGACTATCAGGATTTTATCAAAGACAGTCTACCTCATTGGTCTTTTCAAGTATTTACTATTTTTCTGGTACATTTAAAAACCAGGCAGCAAGAATAAAGACATATATAAAAATACAACATCAAGTTTTCAACTTTAATACAATTGTTACATTTATCAAGTTTTTGTCTGCTTCAAATACAAAATTATAACTCATACATCAAAACTTTTAAGCAACAGTGAATATTGCCAAAATAACTTAAAATAATATTTATATGAAGTGAGAAAAAGCAAAGATGTTAAATGCCCCACTCCAAAGAAAATGACAATTGGTTTCATGGTTAAATTTTAAAGGTGCAGGAATCAAGTACCCAAGAGTACCTAACTGGATGACTCGAAAGCAACACTGAAGGTAGAAATAATCAGCAGAGCCACTGTTGCCTGAGGCTGGGGTACAAAGGAATGCAAGAGAGCATAAAAGAATCTGGAAATGACAGAAATGCTTCATACCTGGTGGGAGACAGGGGGACCACATGATGGCATACATATGCCAAATATAACAAACTTCGCTGAGAGTCTACTACATTTAAATCTATTTAAATTGCACACTCAGCTTGAGGGAAAAGTACTTTCCACAAAAGCACAAATACCTGAATTCAGATCCTCAGCACCCATTAAAAAGCAACTGTGATGTCACACACCTATAATCCCAGTGCTGGAGAGATGAAGACAGACAGATCCCTGGAGCTCAGTGGCCAGGCAGTCTACCCAATTAGTGGTATCCAGGTTAAGTGAGAGAGTGTCTCAAAAAACAATTTAGAGACTAATTGAGGAAGACACCCAACACTGACATGCAGGCACACCCACACACGTGTGCAGTTCCCGACACACATTTTGTCACTTAGACAACACCATATTAATTTGTAAGAAATACAGAACACAATGCCTCACACATACCTGAGGCTGTGCCGCAGCAAGGTGGTACCCACCATGCAGATGAGAAGATGCTCGTGACCACATCAGGTGGAAAAAGTGTCACGTTTCTCTGAATCTGGAGCAAGTTCAACACTAAGGCAAGGAACACTCCAATGAAGAAGAGCACCACCCCTCGGATCATCACGTTCACACTCTGGCTGGTGACAGAAGAAATGTATGGGCCACGTTTTCTGGGCCCAGGTGACTCGGTCTTTCCTTCTGCCATGATTTCATAAGTTCAGTAGGCCTAAGCCATAAAACAAAATAAGGCTTCTCAGTAGAAAAGGTGAACTGTCTGTGAATCGAAGCAGATCAATGTTTCAATGGTACCACATCTTGGCTGAACGTAGAACCTACCAGAGATCCTACAAGAGATAAGAAGAAAGAATCAGCATGTGTCTGATACATGATTGTACAAGTTTTCACCCTTCAGTACTACTTATGCAGATACAGAATGAAACAAGTTTGTACACTAATTTATGTAAATTATTCATTCAATAAGAAAATCCTTTAAAAGAGCCTTTATGTTCATGCTGCAAAAAAAAATTTAAAAATTAAAAAAAATAAAGTGCTATGTGTATATTTACTAGGACAAACAGGTGACTTAAGAGACCTCAGCAAGATAGCTGGAGAGATGGCTCAGCAGTAAGAGGTCTTGCAGAGAACCCACATTCCCAGCACCCACATGACAGCTCACAGATGCCTGTTGTTCCAGTTCTAGGGGAGTCAATATCATCTTCTGGGCTCTGTGGACACCAGGCAAAACACGCATAAACATGAAATAAAAACAAATCTTTAAAGAAAGACCTCACCAATAGGGCCTAAGATGAAAGCTCAGCTAGTAAAGTATTATAGCACAAGCATGAGGCCCTGAGTACCATCCCCAGCACACATATTTTTAAAAAGCCTGTGTGGTGACATACACCTGTGATGCATGCCAGTGCTGGAGACAGGGAGTCACTCCCATCCCTGGAGCTCACTGGCTGGCCAGCCTACTCCTATCTCAAAACAACAGTGAAGAATTTCAGAAGATATCCATTGTCTAAACACACACACCCCTACCCCCTCAGCATTAAAATAGTAGAAAAACAGTTTTCCCTACCCTAGAGAATAGACAACTAGGTAATCAAAAATACTTCTACTGGAATCTACAAGATGAAAACCCACATCTCTGTATTGTCTGCCTAACATACTTCATCCACTGTAATCTTGTACTTCACAGAAAACCAACATATTCTGACTGAAGACATTGTAGTTTCTGATAATAAAATGTGACTTGCCCATTAGGATAGTGCCCACAGAATAAAAGAACCCATCCCCGTGTTTAATGCTCAAGTTACTGAATTTTTACACCCAAGCATCCTACAAAAACCAGCCCAACAAGCACCCACCTACACATATACCAGCAAGAAAAGCCACTCTTCCAGGACCACAGCTGTGCCCCCAACCTGCAGCACTGTGGTCAGCCAAGTGTTGCAACCACTGGGAACTATGATGAAGCACAGGAAAAGTGCCAAGAGAGTGCAACACAAACCTAGTGACTAGGTGTCTGTTCACTACTCTAACAAAAGGGCTGTTGTGGTCCAGTTGGGGGTCTCCCCAAAAGACTGCTGTGTTGACAGTTTAGGCCTCACTGTGATAATGCTGGGGGATGAGATCTCTAAGAGGCAGGATCTAACCTAGAGGTGATGGTAGCTGGGGGTTGGTACATGTTGATGATGATCAAGAATTCAAGGTCACCCTCAACTACATAGAGGCCAACATGGGCTATACGACATCTTTTTAAAAGGAGGACCAGGCATCCCCCCAAAAATGTTCTTAGGTAGTTGGGGGCTCTGCTCTGAGAGGGAAGAGACTGTGAGACCTCAGCCCCTTTGCTCCCTATCTGGTAATGTGATCTCACCGCTCACCCACACTCCTGACTCTTACCAGAGCACAAGTTACACCCCTGAATCTCCAGAATGGTGAATAAAATAAGCCTGCTTCCCTTACCAAGTTAGCCTGCCTTCAGTATTTCCTTGCAGTAACACACAGTCAGTGCAGTAATCCTTCATGTGTTAGAGATAAACAACACGGAAAACTCTGCATGTGCCTTTCCAAGCACCTGACATGGGTGACTCAACCCTCACAGTATCCCTAAGAGGATGGTGTAAGCATCCTGGGCTGGACACTGTCTCACAACTAAAATAATAACAGTGATAATAACAATAACCCTGAGAGCTAAGTGTAATTACAATTGAGGAGATCAAAGCACCTGAATAAGAAGCACAGCTTGAATCAAATCCATCGTCCAACTCCCTTGCTCTCACCATGATGGTGAGCTTCTCAAATGTCATGTACCTTGTTCTCAATGAACTAACAGCTTTGAAATGTGAAAACCACTAACTAGGCTTTTTGCTTTGTCATTTATTTTCATCTTAATCAATCATACTACATCTTGGGCATCTCTGTAAGTTCAGTAGTAACTAAGTGGTATGTCTTGTAAATCCTGAAACATTTTATTGAATGAATTCATTTTATATGTACGTGTGAGTGGAAGAGCTTTCCACAGTGCCCATGTGGAAGTCAGAGGACAACTTTTGGAAGTCAGTTCTCTTCCACCATATGGGTCCTGTGGCAGCAAACCCAAGTTGTCAGACTTATTACAGCAGCTTTACCCACTGAGCCATCTCACACAGACAGGACTTCTAATAGCTACCTCGTAATTATCTCTAGGGCTGCTTTATGGGCTATAAACTTGTTAAGTTGGTCTTATTCACCATTAGATCTCCACTGTATGTCTGCATGCAGCAGGCTTCCTGCTTAGCCCACAGGGATAGTTGCACACATAGTTTAAGCCAGGTTCATTTTTCTAGGATCAAACTCTCCTGGGCTCAGCTCAGCAGTTCTTTGAAAAGCCAAATCTAGAACACAACACAGGCTAGCCAACGTTAGTCTTAAACTTCTGGTCCTCCCACCCCACACCAGCCCCCTTCTGAATGTACCCTACTCACAGAGCTGAGATTATGTATGCTACCAAATCCAGTTTGGGCAGTGCTAAAAATCAAACCTGGAGTCCCAACCCTATGGAATAAAAATATAAATATACTACATCAAAATGAAAATCTGCTTTAAAATATAAAACAACAACAAGCAAACAAACAAAATTATCACAAATGGCTCCCTTACACACTGCATGTGACCAACAGTATACTCTCCTGCCTAGACTCTAAGCAGGCATAAACACCCTACCACTCCACAGAGCATGAGTCAAGAAACAACTTGTTCTGCCTATGATTTTTCTCAAAGTGGAATTAACAGCAACATATACCTTAGCTTCAACAGTATTTTCAGAAGAATAAATAACTTTAATTGGCTAGCCCCATTCATTTCCAGAGCTAGCTGGCCAGAGACTGCTAGAGAACCCTTGGTGAGCTTGGGTCAGATGATCTCTTGCTGTATGGAAACTGTTCTGAGCCTGGCATATTATTTAGTATCACTGGCTCCTGGCCACTAAATGCAGGCCTCCCCCACTTGTGATACCCAAGAATGCACCCACAGTATTTCCAAATACCCCAAGGGAGATTCTGTCCTCCAGTAGGGTTGCTGCTGGCTGGAGATTTCTTTCCTCATTCCGCCAGTCTACTGAAAACACGCAGAGCTGCTCATTCGTGTTTTCTCCCACTGCTGTTTATTCAACCTTTCCTGGCAGCCCTTCTTCAGTTTCCTACTTCACCCCCCACACACACACCCACAAGCATTCTTTAAAAATCACGCAGTATTTGTTTCATGTTTATCTGAGGCAGACCCAAAGGACTAACTGTGGTTCCATCATAGTACAGTGATATATAATTACCAGGAACAAAAATGAAGGCTACAATACTTCACCACCAATGTCCTAAAATGTAAGGACTGGAAAACCATCTATTTTGGGATGTATCTGAGCTTCATGCAAAGTAAAAACAAAAATGTGTATGTATGAATTTTTTCAGAGTTCACACACATACTCAAAATTCTCCAGTATCCAGAGTCAACAAGGGTCCATCAACCCAGGCAGGCAGGCAGGTGTGGTGACCCAAGCCTGTGGAGAGAGGGAGGGAGGGAGAGAGGGAGGGAGGGAGGGAGGGAGGGAGGGAGGGAGGGAGGGAGGGAGGGAGGCATATTCAACCTAACAGTTCTCTCATTCACTTTAATAGTGTCACAAAGTCTTCAGGTGAATTAACAAGATCAGGAAAGAGTTAATGTAGCTGGGCATATTGGAGCAAGGATATAATCCCAGCTCTTGGGATTCAAGACTTTTCTCAGCTACATAGTAAGTTCAAAGCTGGACTTGAATACAAAAGACGCTGCCTCAAAACAAAACAAAAAGCAATGTAATACTGGCTTTGGGGAGGGCGGGTCATTTCTCCATCTTTTTACTATAATTACATATAAACATATACAATAACCAGGTTGGTCAAACAGAAAATCCCAGGAAAGTATTCACTACCGCCTAGACAACAGTGAAGTTACTATTAAAAAGAAAACCACGTTTAATGGGTTGGTGAGATGGCTCGGAGGGTAAAGGAGCTTGCTATGCAAGCCTGACAATCTGAGTCAGACCCAGAGTCCTAAGGTAGAATGAAAGAATCAATACCTTAAAGGTTGTCCTGACATCCACATATGTGCAAACCCTCCCCCACATACACATCGATGATAATACCAATAATAAATTAAAACTTAAAAATAAAGTTAAAAAAGCAGGCTTATAATCTCAATATTACACTAAGAGGGTGGGGTATTTTAAAGGCTCTGGGAACAAATGTAGCATAATTTATCTTAAAGTCTCATTGGCAAATCACAGTGTTTAAAAACAAATGTAGCTATACTTTTCTATATTACACTTAAATAAAAATTTGGTTTTCTGAATTTTTAAATTTCATAAAAATTTAGATTATTAAAAATAAATTTAAAGCATAATACCTCAATGGCTCCTAATGAGTCAATGTTAATAAATAGGTGGGTGTTTTTAATTCCCATTGTACAAAATCAGGTAGGCTAGCTAACACATATTTTTCTTTTGTTGTTTAAAACAAGATTTCATTACATAGCCAAGGCTGGCCTCAAACCTCTTGATTCTCCCTCCTTGTCCTCCAGAGTGTGGGGACTACAAACTTGAGCTACCAAATCAGGCTTCAAATAGGCTAGATAACTTGGCAAGATGGTCAAGTTGTTACCAGGTAGTCATATTTGGGCCAGCCACTTTGCCTCCATGAAAAAGAGTTCCCTCCACCTCCCCTCAGAAACACCACATGAAAAACTTAAGTGCCATACAGGAAACTGCTTTTAAGGTCCACTCATGAGCAACTACTAATTCCATAACAATGCTTTTGTACAGCCTGAGAGGAAACCTTACCAGAGGAAATGTAGTAGCTTACTTTGAACCCTGATCTACAATTTCCATAAAGTATATGAATGAACACAGAAAAATAGTTCATATAGTTTGGCAAGGTCGGTGACAAATCTTCAAAGCTGGGAAAATACTATCCATGTGGTTTCCTGTCAATGGATTGACACCATTACCTTCAGACAAAAGAGAGGCATAATAATTCTAGACATTTTACAAGTAAATCAAAGTTTACAATGACCACCAAAACAACTTACAGGTAATAAGCATTTGAGAAAATACAGATATGAAATCTAGTAACAATCAGTTGGAATCTAGGCTCCCCACCCTCCACCCACCCACCCCAGGGCTTTGAAGCAGGGTCTCACTAGCCCAGGCAGACATCAAACTCAATATATAGCCACGGATGACCTTGAACTTCTGATTCTCCTTCCTTCACCTCCCAAGAACTGGGATTTCAGACATGCACCACCACAGCTGGTTTAAATCTAGTAACTTAAGAACCATTAGGCTTTAACAATTGCAAGCAAACAAGATTATGCTTTTTTCAGTGATTAGTGGTCACACTGGTAAGTTTTTTTTGCATTCTCGGATGACTGTCTCCTCAGGGACTGGGTCATATACAACACCAAATAGTAAAGTTAAATTACTACCGCCCATTTTTTTCCTTCAACACAAGCTGTGCTCATTAGAACAGCACTAGCAAAACAGAATAAGCACCAGCATTACAAATCACAACTCAAGACATGGTTCAACCCTCCTTTTAAAAAAAAAGCACATAGACATGATTCTCAGACTAGGAGCATTAGAACTCTAGAAAGAAAAAAATGTATTCCCCCAATTTACCCAAGCTCTTTTCTCTCCACAATAAAACCCAAATACAGAAAAGATTAAGCAGGCAACAGTCGCATAGCTTACTACTTTAAACATAAGGGTTAGGCTGTAAAATTGTTACTCTACTGTTTGGTGATAATTTTCTAGAAACAATGAAAACACTATTTTTACTGAACTGCACATTATCTTTTCCTTTTCAATGTCATCATCTACAAACACAATTAGCAGTTTAAAAAGCATCAATCTTTTCCCCAAATGCAAATGACTCACGGATTCTTCATTTTGTAACAAATATGAACTGAGTATCATGAAAACAAATAAAACCACTATGATTACAAGTCCAGAAAAAGGATAGAGGAAGAAAGCAGGAAGAGAACATCAGCGCATTGTTTTTTCCTACAGGACACTGATGAATAGGGGACACCCCTTTATTCATTTTCATTCAGTGGTTCACCATCAGGGCCAAACTCCAAGGGGAATGTGGGAACAGAAGACGCGGCACCGCAGCCTTCAGTTTTTTGTGCCCAGAACTGGAGCCTGTCATGGTCAGCAATACCGATTCTAGCCAGTGTCCGTGGCCCAACTGTCAAGCCCATTTGCTCTTCCTCCAAGAACTTCCCCATCAATCCCACAAAACAGCAAGCTCTTCGGGATCTATCTCACCCCACTACATAGCTAACACCACCCCTCAACAACTTTTCCCAGCATTTACTGGACTCGAGTTATTTTCACTGAAGTTTTAACACCCATTCGCGTCCCTAGCCCCGTCCTCAGCAAAAGCACTGTTTTCCTTTCCCAGACAGTTCATCCCCACTGTACGGATCCCATAACGCCAATTACTGCCACCAACCGACTTCTAGGCCCTGGCAAGAGCTCTCTGGCAGCACCCACTGATAATACCTAAAAGGTATTCACTTTCGATCCCAAACTCTTCTAACTCAGCGTCCTCTTATTTCAGTAGATTCTAAACTTACTACGATTACGTACCTAATTTCGATCCACCTCCTATGCATGCCGGAGTCTTTTCTCCCTGGCTACAAGTCACCCAAGTCCTGTCAGGTGTACGTTAGACAGCTGGCCCATCTCTGTCCCCAAACAGACCTCCAGGTCGCCCTTCCCGCCGTCCTCCAACCGCCTTCTACTCTTGACAGTCTTCCACCGTCCGGGGACCTCGGCGACCCCAAGAGCCTGCCCCCCTGGGGGCCCCGCTGTCCCCTTCCAGAGCCCGCTGACCTCTCGCCAGGTAAGCCTGCCCCCCTCGGCCAACAGGCCCCACCTGCGGGTCGTGGATCCCCCCAACGCCCGCCGCCGGGATACCCAGCCTGCAAGGTGAAAGCTTAAGTGGCTCCTCTTCCCGAAAGCCAGCGGACTCCTCGAGCCGTCCCCGTCCAAACATACTCACCTGCGCTCCGCCGGGAGACCCCCAATTCACCCCCGCCTCCGCCATCTTCAGGGACCGGCCCCCGGACCTACTCCCCTCCCACAGCTCCGCCTGAGCCGCACTGCGTCTGCGCGGCCCGGGCGCCTCGCGCGGAAGGTAGGGGCAGAGGAGCTTCCGGTTGCCGTTGCGCGAACCCCCAGCGCTCCGCTGAGTCGGGGCCAAAGGATTTCCGGTCTGCGGGAAACTCGGGGGCCGGGAGGAGGCGGGGACCTTGTCTGGGATGAGAAGCTGCGGAATCCGCTGTTGTTGGCGGACTCTGCAGTCAGGGCTTCTGACCGGCGCCTCGACTCTGTGGGGCGGGGTGAGGGAAATCGTGCACCGACGCACGCACGCCTGCGCGACCGAAGACTCCGCCTTCTGCGTGGGCCGCACTTGGGGGAGAGGTGATGGGGCTCTGCGGTGCTCACCCTCTACTTTCTCCCACCCCGCAGGCTGCCTTACTATATCCTTGGTGAACACGGATTAACGGCAGCTGTTCTCATCGCCCCGGCTCGGTAGAGATTTGTACCGAAGAGCGAGCAACGCAAAACCTGATCACTGTCTAGCTGTCAAAACCATCATCTCCTTTGAATTAAAGAACATCCTATCCTCTTTTTGAAACAGGGTCGCACTATGTAGCCTTAGCTGGTCTAAAAACACCTAAGTAGACCAGGCTGGCCTTGAACTCACAGAGATAACACCAGCTTCTGCTTCCCGGGTGCTGGGATTAAAGCTGTGCGCCACCACGCCCATCTACATTTTAGAACAAACAGATCTTTGGAGACCAACAGATGAACTTTGTTTTGGATGAAAAAAATGATACAGGAAAGTTTTGTTTTATTCCTTGAAAATTTCAAGGATTCAGAGTTCAAATGAGGAAGTGGAGGGTGGACCTGGGAGATGTGAGGAGGAAGTAGGGAGTAAATATGATCGAAATACTTTGTTTGAAGTCCTCAAAAAGTCGCATTTTAAAAAGAAAATTTTTATGCATGTATGTAGTGTATTTTGATCATACTCCCTGGCCCCCATACATTCCTCTGTAGAGTGGTTTGAAAGCCAGGACCAAGATCTATCTTCATTAACTCCCCTCACTGAGCTGTTCATGTATCACCTTTTGGGAGGCCCAGCCAAAAATATATTGTGGATGTAGTCTGATTACATTGGTCTTAAGGAGAATTTTATAGGAAATATGGGCCTAAAGTAGCTGCTATTGGTTAGATGCCTTTTGTTTTTTGTTTTGCTTTGTTTTTGTGGTTGTTGCTTTTCTTTGAACTGGCAAACCATCAGTTCCACTTTTCTTTAAAAAAAACTTTTTCTGACCTTTTTATCGACATATTTTTTTTCTGAAAATTAAAAGACAAACCAGCAGCCTCAGCATGTATTAATATGACCTTTCTTGTATTTCTAATGTTTTTCTCTAGCTCTTAAACTTAATTCCTGCAGGTTTTTGATGCAGAGTAAATGAAGATCTAAGCTAATTATGCTGCACAGATGAATTTTGTAAGGAAAAAAAATAAAAGCACACATGTGATGGTTAGTCATCTTTGTCAACTTGACAGGATTTAGAATCGCCATGGTAACACCTAGGTGTATGTCTAAGATGGAGTTTCCAGAAAAGTTGAAGGAAAGAAGGGAGAAACACACTGAATGTGGACATCACAGTTCCTGGAAGTGGGGTCCTGAGCTGAATAAGAAGGAGAAAGCTCACTGAGCATCTGACTCATGTTTCCAAGCTGCAAGCTCAGTGTGACCTCACACCCACCACCAAGCCTTTCCCATGGTGGCCTGTGCCCTCTCAATATGTGAGCAGAAATAGGCCCATCCTCCCGAAAACTCTTTTGCCAGTTATAAATCCAAAATGAACTGATGTATGGATATGAATTAAGAGGGTGGTGAAGACTTTGGAGTCCTCTGAAGTTAGTTCTGTGCTGAGTTGCTGGTGATTTGTTTGAAACCTCAGCTGTATCTTGGCACTAACTGCTTATATGCAGTTATGTCCACGATGTTCATTTTTCTGGTTTTTTTTTTATAGCTATTAAGTGAAATAGTGGTCCTGGTGATTTTTAAAGTCCTTTTCCTCTTTGGTTTGTTTGTTTGGTTGGTTGGTTGGTTGGTTGGCTGGCTGGCTGTTTGGTTGGTTGGTTGATTTTGAGGCAGGATTTCTCTGTATAACAGCCCTGGCTGTCCTGGAACTTGCTTTGTAGACCAGGCCAGCCTTGAACTCACAGAGATCCGCCTGCCTCTGCCTCTGGAGTGCTGGGATTGAAGGCGTATGCCACCACACCTGGCTTTTAACGTCTATTTGACATATTGTTTATTCTTTCAGTGGATCAGACCATTGGCCAAGTTAGAAAGACAACTTTGTAGCTAAATATAAGCAAATATCCAGAGGTCATTGGAGGGAGATACTGTTAGACTTAATGCTAATCATTGCTTCCTGCTGATGCTTCGCTAAGTCAGATTCTCAGTTTCTGAGAGCCGGACACTTGGAAATCTTACCCAAACTAAAAGACATTAAAGACGAAGAATATGACCATTTTTTCTATTCAATAACTACTTCACATCGAACTTGTCCTCACACTTGCATGGTAAGCACTCTACTGGCAAACCATCTCCACTGCCCTTAAATTCACTCTTATATTATGTGTTCAAAACCTCTTTGGATTAGATTCCAGAGTAGTTGTTAACCCTGTCTGTACATTAGAACCACCTGTAAATTTACTGAAGTAATGTGTATGTGCTGTGTATGACTTCTTTCTAAGACCCTCTACATGTTCCAATTTAATTTGACTGAAGGACAGACCAATAAAGCGCCTATGTGATCTTAATATATTTCTAAAGAAATCCTAATGCAGGCAAAATTCAGAAGCACTGGCTTCATCTAAGTTTGTCTGGCATCATTAGCATTACAATAAGGAGCAGAGGAGGCTGAATTCAACACACATCCGTTCAGTTCCAGTGCCGAGTTCTTAGCTGCTTCGCACAGCCCTGTGGGCAACTGCATACAGTGAGCAGCTGGAAACTCATCAAGACACCAAAGGGAATGAGACAAAGTGCTTACCTTCAATAAATTCATCTGGGAAGCTGAAGTGTCAGTAAAGCAAGCCAGTCCAACTCACATAAACTCACATAAACAGGCGCAAGCTAACTGAGAACGCCCCTTGAAATCAAACATGCCTTGCTTTAATCGTGATCGGTGTGGAAGGTAACCAATGGCAGGGCATGGAGGAAGGCAGAATTGCAGGTGCCAGCTGGGAGATGGTGCAAGCACGCACTGAGGCAATGGCAGAGGTCACAGAATTGGCAGTGCTAACTGGCCACTGGTGACAGTGATGAAAAGAGCTAAGTGGAAGTGGCCTCCAAGTTCTGAGCCAGAGAAGCTCAGAGGAACAACATTGTTGATTTAGGTCAAGAGTTTGGGGTTGAATGAGTTTGAAGGACTTTGAATGTTTGGATAGAATTGCCCTCTAGCGTGCTGGAAATGTGAATCTATAACTCAAGTTAGCAAATATGCTTAGAAATTAAGGCCCTAAGATGGTTCAGTTGCTAAAGCATTTGACTTAAAAGCACGAGGACCTGGGTTCCATCCCCAGAAGCCACATAAAAGCCAGGTGTGGTGGCATGTGCTTAGAGTTCCAACACAGGGAAGGTGGAGACAGGTGTCTCCCTAGGGCTTCTGGCCAGTCAGCCTGGCTAAATTACAGAGCTCCACACGCCAGTATGAGTCTCTACCTCAAAAGCAGCAGTGTGGACAGCACCAGAGAATGATTGACATTTGAGGATATCTTCTGGCCTCCTCATACACATAACACACACACACACACACACACACACACACATACATACATACATACATACATACATACATACATACATACATAGAAAGAGAGAAACTGTAGAATGACTGGCTGTTAGTGGATCATTGAATCCACACCTTGCACCATGTGCATGCTACATATGTCTTTTTTTTTAAGATATTGGAAATATAGAAGGAAAAACTCCTGAAATTGCTATACTGGAATATTTTAATACAGTTAGCATTTAGCTGCAGTAATTTTAAACACAGTCAACTCATAATTACCTATGATGAGTTTTAGTACTTCCCAGATGATCCTGGGATCACTGAAAATTTAGTAGTAGATGATACATAGCCATAGAATACAAGCCAGTTTTAAACACTAGCTTAATATTTAAGAATGCTGCAGGATGCATTCAGAAATATTATGGAAATGTCATGCCACTGTCCTCTAGTCTTTCCACAAGAATGACTTTTATAGTTTTGCCTTAAGCTATTTTGATTATAGCATTCTTAAACCTACTGTAGTTCCTCTGTTCTAAATTTAAATTTAGGTAGAAAATTCTTAGGCTTAAGCTCATAAACATGGAAACCCTTTCAGAGAACTTGCAGAAAACACTGAGAAACTTAAAACAATAATAATAATGTTCAAGGCATTTTCATGATGCTTACATCCTAAACATTGAAGTAACAGGTATTGTCTAGATTCTTTGGAAATAAAAGGTGTTTTTCATACAGTACACTGTGGTGGCTCGATCTCTCACCAATCCCTCTACTAGACTCTTGTTTACACAGTCTACCCAACCATTATATGATCTTTGTTTAAAACACATGATCATTTACATTCCCTTAAAAAAATCTGACAGCTACAGATCTGTTTTGTTTTTGTTGTTGTTATTGTTGTTGTTGATACTCAGACTGGCCTTAAACTTGCAATACCCCTGTCTCTGAGTGCTGGAAATACAGGCAAATGCCACCAGGCCTGGCTAGATCCAACTTTAAGAGAAACTGTGTGGCAGTATGTCATTCAAATTGGTTCTACATGATCCAAAGAAGCTAATATTTGAAGGTTATTGTGTTGCTCAAATCACAGCATTTCAAGATTGGCTTGAGAAACTGTGGAACACTGAGAACATAGTCCTGCCCTTTGTATAGCTACCAATGTCTTAGTTATTTTTCTATTGCTATGACAAAACACCATGACTAAGACAAATATTAAAAAAAAGTGTTTAATTTGGCTCATGGTTTCAGGGGTTAGAGTCCATGCTGGCAGAGCAAAGGCATGGTGGCAGAAACAACTGAGACTTCACATCCTGACCCGCAAGCAGGAGGCAGAAAGAACTAATTGTGGATGGCATGAGCCTTTAGAAACCTCAAATCCCATGCCCAGTGACACACTTTCTTCAATAAGGTCACATCTTCTATCTTCCTTGAACAGTTCCTGAGGATGAAGTATTCAACTATGTAAGCCTATAGGACCATTCTCATGCAAACCACAGCAGTACTTCGAGAAGCACTAGGGGTAATTCTTAGCTTTAACTTTCAACAAAACTTAGAATCACCAGGGAACAGAGCCTCAATGAGGGATTGAAGGGACCAGACCCTCACCCAGCCCCCTGCTTTAGCAGCCATGACAGGCTGCAAAAAAGACCCAGCAAGAGGTAGGCCTCTGACTCAGCAACATGTGCTGAGTTTCTAACCTGTCCCAGTCACTAGGAAGCCAGATACCCTCCATGTGGCAAGGAGCCAATCATAAGTTAGCTGGTGGGCTCTGGATGTGCTTTACAGTAACAGTGGCAGTACAGAGCATAGCAACTGCCCTGGGAGGGCCTATAGGCCATAGCAACCAGTTGACAGATCAACACAGGTCACCCAAGCCCTGAAGTGCACCAATCCTGAGTCTGTTGCAGACCTCAGACACTCCCCTTGCTCTACCCCAATAAATTCCCTGCCTCTTGGTCCCTCTGGGTCCTTGTCTCTCCACCTACTGTATTGCACAGAGGAAGGAACTGAGTTAATACAGTTAATTTATTAAAGACTCTCTGGTTTTAAATCAAATCGGGTCTCTTGGTGATGTGGGGGTTCAGAATTTGGGCACAACAGGATTAGCTACACTGAGTTCTCATATGGGCACATCTGCCAGGGATTGTCTTACCATCCTAACTTGATGATAAAAATATATCAAAGTTCCCTGATTTGGGAGTTACAAATGTGAGCTGGTTTTATAACAAGGAAATGTATGTTCTTGGATGAGTCTCTGATAAGTTTATGAAGTCACTGGATGTTTTCTGTGGTCACTGACCTTAGTCTTGTTTGAGCTAGTAGCAAACTGGACCACATTCTAACTACACACGAGGGGAAACACAATGAAAATAGCAGATGTACTTGTAGATTGATCTAGTCACAAGCAGGCAGACCCAGCTGAATCTCATGGTCATGTGGTCCCAGTCTCTGAATATTAATAAGATCAATAGTGACTACAGAAAAAAATAAGAACCATGCATTGGAGGGGGAGTATTAGAAGTAGAGCAGGTCTGAACCATTAAGATTCGAAAAGAATAGGGTGGTGAGGGCATTTACCCTTTAGTGTTGTAACTTGGTTGTTTTCAGATGATAATCTTAGGAAGCATTGATAACTAAAATCAATAAATCAAGTCACATGGCCCTTGTGGAGCCTGAGATGCTTATCACTCAACAAAGATGATAAACAGAGCTCAAAGAAAACCAGGTCACTGTGGATG